ACCTCCATGCTCCTATTTCTGTTATCTGGAAATTAATCAATCCTGTGATTTATATATTTTTTTCTTCCTTCATGTTACACTTTTAAGTATGTTTCACATGTATGTATACTTCACTGAACTCAGACCTTTGAATTTATACTGTTACTTTGCTTACAAGAAGATGGAAAAGTAATTCTTGTTCCAGATATCTTGTTTTGAGTCATGTGGAAATTCTGCATTTTGACAATGAACTTGAGTTTAGGTTCTGGAAAAAATAAAAAGCATTTTGAGAGGCATACTATGTCTTTCATGTACTTTATAAAGTAATGACAAAGTGAGCATTAACACCCTAGATAACACATAATTATATTAAAGTGATTCATGATTTTTTCCCCTCAAGGGATGCCATTATCTGTACACACAAAATAGGGAGAAACAATAGGTGAAATGACAATTAATATTATGTCATAGTCCCATAGGATGGAAAGCCTAGCTATCTATATAGAGAAATTAATAAACTCAAATCATTCCTAAACACTTACTTCCCCGAAACTTCATTTCCCTTTCTTGGATTTTGTCTGGGTTTAGCTTATGACAGAACTGCTGTACTTCAGCCAACACAAAGGCCAACCTCTTTGGGATTCAAAGGGCATCACTAAAAATTCTTTGGCTTGAAAATCACTCCCCCACTGGCTTGCCACAGTGCCTGAAATTCTATTATTCAAGACTCATTCATTTTAATTTTTTTCCTCCCATGATATTTCCATTTTAACAGGGCAATGTGAATTATTTTTATCAGTTTGATTTAATATCTATTAAGACTGAGAAGGAAGGTGGATACCTTGAGGTGGAAAGGAGAAGAAGAATATCTAGGTCATAGGGATCTGTTTATGGGAAATGGAGCATTATAGTAGGTAAACCTGTGCTGGAGGAAGAGAGTGTGAGGGCCTTGGAATCCAGGAGTGGAGGGGCTGGAGAAAAGGAGAGGTCACAGGAAGAGGGGTGGTAGAGAATCAGACAAAAACCTCTTTTACTTCCTAATTTTGCCCTGGGCCAGCCTAGGACAATAGTTTGTGTTTACTTTCTCTGACATTTCTTTATCTGCCAAAGGCATATGCAGTACATAGGGGTTATCAATTTTAGGGATCATCATTCTGACCTTGAAAAAATTCTTCCACTGTATCATTTGTTACATATCATAAAGCTAGAGTTAAGAGGGACCTCACGGGGTCCTCTAGTCTGATGCCTTAATTTTATAAATGAGAAACTTGAGGTCCAAAGAACTTAAGTGATTTGTTCAGTCACATATGAAGTTAGTTGCAGAGCTGGGACTCAAACACAGATCCAGCATTCTTTTATATAGAGTGAAACCATTTTAAAAGCTAACATATTATTTCCTTTTAGGCAATTGAGGTTAAGTGACTTGCTTAACACAACTAATAAATGTCAAGTGTTTGGCCTGAGGCCGCATTTGAACTCAGGTCCTCCTGCCTTCAGGGCCAGTGCTCTATCCACTCAGCCACCTAGCTGCCCCCATATTATTTCCTAATGTTAGAGTGTAATAGGTTGGGGGCAGCTAGGTGGTACAGTGGATAGAGGTCCAGCCTTAGAGTCAGGAGGATCTGAATTCAAATGTGGCCTCAAATACTTGACACTTAATAGCTATGTGACCCTGGGCAAATCACTTACCCCTAATTGCCTAAAGAAAAAAAAATGGTAAATAGGTTGTCAAAAGGTCTTTCAACATATATTATAGAAACACTAATTCCTAAAAGAAGAGATAATCTATATTTTAAAATATCCATTAAATGTCAAATTTGGGCATATTATCCATTTGTGTACATACTTCCTACAATAACAGCCAATTTTAATTCCTCCATAGCTTCTCACACTGTGCAATTCTTTTCCAAAAACTTTTCCATAGAAGGTAGACTTCCCGTATTAGAGGGCTTCCTCTGGTTTTTCTGGAAACTTAGGATTACCAATTTACTAATGAAGCCATCTATTGCTTATTTTTCACTCTTTCTAATGACTAGCTCACATCTCTTCCCCTCCCCCCCACCCCATCATAAATGTTTTGATCATTTCTGCCTTGCAGATTTATTTTGGTAGCTAGATGGTATAGTGGATAGAGCATTGGGCCTTGAGTCAGTAAGACTTGATCTGATACAGCCTCAGAGACCATTACTAGCTATGTGACTCTGAGCAAGTCACTTAACCTTTGTCTCCCTCAATTTTCTCAAATGGAAGTGTAAAATGGAGATAATGATAGCACCTAATTCCTAGGGTTATTGTGAGGATCAAATGTGATAATACTTATAAAGCGCATAATAGCATAGTGCCTGGCATAGAGTAGGCACTTAATAAATGCTTATTTCCTTCCTTCTTTACTTTTGGTTCGTAAGTCATTAATGGCTGCATGCTACAGCCTTTTTTTATATATCATGTGCCTTTGCATTGCCATTTGGATTACTTAAGAAATTATGATTCTTGTGAACAATGATACACCATGATGGCAGAATCATATAGCACCACTGGAAGAATATGATTTTTTTAAAAGAATGGTCTTTTGTAACAATGAGCAGTTTGTGATCATTGAAATTACTGTACAATTTCACTGTGTATCTTTGGTGACTGCCCAGAGTTATAAACATGTGTGTGTTTGTGTTACTATGTATCACATATCACAAATATATTGGTCATCATATTATAATTGTTAGTTTTTTAAGCCAGACCTGTGATTTCATCACTACAGTAGAGCTTCTAAAGAGGAATTCCCCCTACCATTTTAGATTAGTACTTTCTCTGCAGCTTTCAGTCTTAGAAAGTTGCCAGGGACCTTGAGAGGTTATGTGAGTTGCTTAAGGTCAAAACAGCTAGAATATGTCAGAAGTGGGATTTAAAGCTAAGTTTTTCTGATTTTGAGCTCAGCTCTCTCTCCTCTACATCAACTGTCTATGTATTTATATACACTAATTTGATAGGCTGTCCATTCATTGGAATACACAGGCCGTAATATGGGCAATATATGTTTTTCATCCATTCTGCTTTTCCAGTGTGGATGTTTATATTATCTGCTTTAAGGCTGCATATTTCACCGAAGAGACTCAGGACACAATGGGCAAGTGAATTCTATCTTCTGTGGGTATGAAATTCTGAATTTCATATAAAGTGAAAATCAGATAGCCCTCAAAAATTAATTAAATTACTTCTGAAGTACCCAATAGTATTTTTAAACAATTGTAGCTGGAAGGGGGTTTGGGTCTTTCAAATAATTCAGTATGAATTAGAGCAGATTGTTCTAAAATGATAGCTATAAAATTAATTGAATGTGAACTTTATTTTTCAAAACCTGAAGTTAAGTTTTTGATCTACTTCTAGTTAAAGAGAAATAAAACAAAAAGAGGTAAAGTCTTAGCTGGGAGGAAAATTGAAAATTAAGGGTAAAAATATTCCTGAAATACTACTTTCATATGAAAGTTAGGCAACTGTTCAAGAATCTATTTTCTGTTTTTTGTTTCTTTTTTAGGCAATTGGGGTTAAGTGACTTGCCCAGGGTCACACAGCTAGTAAGTGTCAAGTGTTTGGTTTGAGGCCAGATTAGGACTCAGGTCCTCCTGATTTCAGGGCCAGTGCTCTATTCACTGCACCACTTAGCTGCCCCACAAGAGTCTATTTTCTTAGTGGTAATGTCTGTGTCTCACAAGTTTCTGAAATGCTTTCTTATAGTCTTCATTGAAGTTTGCATATTTCAGTGGATTTACAAAAGAATCGAAATAACCAATCCATGTAAAAAAAATCAGACAGTTCTTTTGGAATGTGACATTTCTCACACATATTGACATCTACCTCCTTGGCAAAAAAGGGAAGCCTGCAGATCACATACACATCTAGGATTAACCCCAAAGTGGCTGTCTTCCTCTCTCTCTTGTTCCAGAAATCTTTCACACTACATAATTGTTTCTTCTTCTTTCTTTACTAATTTGTGATTATGGAAAAAGTACTGGGTCTGGAGTCAAAGGACCTCACCTCTGACGTTATCTATAGGATTTTAGGCAAGTCAATTGCTTCAATTTCATTATCTAAAAAAGGAAAGGGGTGAACTCAATGGCCTCTGGGTTCTAGCTTTAAATATATGATCCTGTGAGTCAAAGCGAGCACAGCAAAGACACTCGGTGAACATTCTGTTCCCTGTTCAATAACCTCTTTGTTGCCAACTAGTACTTAGCAAATTGTCAAACAAAAATTTCAGCAAATTTCTAATAGGAATTTAAAAACTTTTTTCCCCTTCTGTTGGTGCTTGTGGAGAAATAGCTTATGGGGAAAAATCTCCATTGTGGCACAGTGAGTTAAATATAGGGGAAGGAGACAGAATTTTGGGAATGATCTCATTTTTATGGGTTTAAGATAAATATTTTTTGGGGGCAGCTAGGTGGTGTAGTGGATAAAGCACTGGCCCTAAAGTCAGGAGTTGCTGAGTTCAAATCCAGCATCAGACCTTTACTAGTTGTGTGACCCTGGGCAAGTCTCTTAACTTCAACTGCCTCAAAAAAAAAAGATGAATATCTTTTGGTTAATTTTTTTCAATTGGAAAACCATAGAGCCTGTTAAGACAAATATTGGGAGTTCTATACAACCTGCCAAATGTCTTTAGTCACAAAATCAAATATTTGTTAATGCTAAAGTGTAAAATATTCCTTCATGGTCAGTTAATACTGGATCCTGCCAACATTGTCAGTAATGAAATACTTTTTCAACTTTAGAAAATGTGTTATATAATAAGGTAGTTGTGTTGAGCCATCTTGGGTTTCTAAGTCAAAAGTATTTATAGGCAAGCAAGAATCATGTATGAATTCTTCTTGACTTACTAGTAGGATAGTTCTTTCCTTTAAAATCCCAAGTTATGAGTAATATATTCTTGATGGGATTTGAAATGAGAATAATAGAACTTTTTATGAATCTCGAACAAAAATTCAAATTCAAGACAATGCATCACCTTTTTCCTTTTATGGTTCTTTATTACATGAGAAAGACAAAGTTGAATGATAAATTCTAGGTCTCTTGATCAATAAAGTTATTCTTCTACCTTTATTTTGGTCAAATGAAGTGGAACTTCTTGGGGTCAGGTATTGGAGAGATAGTGAACTGATAGAGCGTGTCATATTTTATGAATGAATTACATTTTCCCTTTAGAAACGAAGAACAGCAATTTATAAGGTCAGCTTTCTGACTTAAAGATTAAAGAGTTTGATAGCAACCAAAAAGTTTCCTTCCACTACTGTCATCAACACAATAGAAGATATGTCCCATTAACATTTTAAAAAATGAATAGGAAAATTGAATACTGCTTTCATTCTGCATAAAACCATTCTTAGATTCACAATACCCCATAATGATGGTCAAATAAAACTATCTTTTATCAGTAAACATTCTGATCAATAGAAAATTTAAAATGTGAAGAAATCTTAAAATATTTCCTTTCCCACAAAATTTCAACATATTTAAATGAACATAGCATGTACATAGATATAGATATACACAAAAAACTTTCAATACTATATTATTCTAAAGGTAATGTCTGCATCTCACAAGTTTCTGAAATGCTTTCTTGAAGTCTTCATTGAAGATTGTATAGATCAATGGGTTTATAAGAGAATTGAGATAGCCAAGCCATGTCAAAAAATTAGATAGTTCATCTGAAATTTGACATTTCTCACATATGTTGACAACTACCTCCTTGACAAAAAAGGGAAGCCAGCAGATCACAAATGCACCTAGGATTAACCCCAATGTAGTGGCTGCTTTCCGCTCTCTTGTTCCAGAAATCTTTTGCCTCCTCCAAGATTTTTCTGGCCTTAATTCCGATTTGGGACTTTTTACAGTGCTTTGTATTTTATCAAAGTCTGCCGAAGGGTCAGATAAAGACTTCTCTTGCACATATGATGTAGAGACCAGGTGAATGTTTCGCTCACTGCTTTCCAGAGTACCTGACCATTTGGCTCTCCTTTGGCAACCCGACTAACATTTCTCTTGTGGTACAATGTCCTTGCTGCCCTGTATATTTTATAATAGAGGATGAGTATCAGTGCCAGTGGTATGTAGAAAGCTCCAAATGTAGAGTAAATGGTGAAAACAATATGGTCATGTTTGATTATGCATTCATCTTCTTTGCTGGTTCCCTGATGTCTCCAGAATAGAGGTGGCATGGAGATGAAAACTGAAATAGTCCACACCACAGTGATCATAATCCCAGCCTGCTTAGGTGTCCTTTTCCTGGCATACTCGACAGCATCAGTGATTGCACGATACCTATCCAAAGCTATAGCCGAGAGGTGCAAGATGGAACATGTGCAGCAGGTAATGTCAACGCTCAGCCAGATGTCACAGACTACTTGACCCATGAGCCAAGTTTCTTTCACAATATATATGATGCTGAAGGGCATCACGAGGATGGCCACTAGAAAATCGGTAACTGCGAGGGAGCAGATTAAATAGTTGGCAGGGTGATGTAGCTTCCGGGTAACAATTATAGCAGTGATCACAAGAGAGTTGATAGCAGTTGTCATCAGTGCCAATAATGACAGAGTAAGTGAGACCAGAATCTTAGACGGCATTCTATTGAATGTTTCTTCTGAGGTAAAGTTTTGATCGGTCAAGTTTAAGAAATCCATCATTTCCTTGAAAGGTAAATTTACTTGAGTAAATGGATACCTGCAGTAAAAGAATTTAAAAAAAAAAACAACAGTTCAGTCAATGCTCAAATGTCTTCTCTTCTTTTAAAAATAAATACAGGATGTCCCAGAAATCTTTATTAGCTTAAAACTTTGGGACATCCTATATGTCATTGTTGCTTTTTGTTTCATTTTGTTAAATTTTGAACATAACTATCAATAAAGACAAACATACAAATATCAAAAGAACAATATGAAAATCAATCAATGAGTTTTTATTAACTACTCACTATGTGCCAAACACTGTGTTAGGCACTGGAGAATCAAATATAATGAATGAAATGCAAAAACTTACATTTTCATGTGGGAGACAGCAAAGATATATAACAACAAATACAAAGAGAATGAATATAAGGTAGTTAAATACAAGTTAGTTTGCAAGGGAGGGAACTAGCAGTCAAGGGGATTTGAAAAGATGCCATGTAAATTTGGTAATCCTTGAACTACATTTTTGGGGACATTTATTTTGTTGATGTGCTTTGTTTTTAGACTACAAATATTTACAGATTATTCCCACTTTGTGAAGCTTCTTGCAACAAAATAAAATGGTTAAGTAAAACTAATAATATAATGACCTCATCTAAAAGTACATGCAACATTTCACATCATTAATAGCCCCTGCCTCCATTTCTGTCTCTCCTACTTTTACCTCAGTGAAAAAAAAAAAAAAGAAAAATTCCTTTTAACAAGTATGCATATGCAAGCAAAACAAATCCCCTCAATGACTGTAGGGAAATATGTGTGTGTGTGTGTGTGTGTGTGTGTGTATGCACACACATTTCAGAGATGTAGGGTACAGAAGACACAAGTATGTCTGTATATATGTAAATATAGACACTTACAGAGGCCATAGATTTAGAGTGTGAAATTACACACACATACATATGCATATACACACACATATCTATACACACTTTTATATATTTATGTATATACATAAATACATAATCAGTAGCCTTGTCTGCTGGAACATAGAGTATGTGAAGGGGATGAAGGTTCTAGTCATTGATATAGTATATATATTTGCATATAGCTATTGAACAAATTTGTTTTGCTTGGATATTCATATTTGTTACAAAGTGGTTTTCTTTTCTCTTTTTTTATTCATTGAAGTAAAAATAGGAGAGAGAGAAATAGAGGCAGAGGTGACGTGAAATGTTGCATGCACTTTCAGATGAGATCACCATATTATTAGTTTTACTTAACCATTTATATATATATATATATATATATACATATATATGTATATATACATATATACACATACATACACACAACACTCATATGTATGTGTATACATATGTATGCATTCTGCACTCTAAATCTATGATCTTTCTGAGTCTTGAAGAGAGGGATCCCATGAGGTGGAGATAAGGAAAATCTGCATTCCAGGTGATAGGAAGCCATTACAGTTTATTGAGTTGGGGAGTGACATGGTTAGAGCTACACTTAAGAATCATTGGTTTAGCAGTAATATGTAGGATGAACTGAAGTAAGGAGAGACTTGAAGCATGAAAACCAGTTAGGAGGTTTTTGCAATAAACTAGGTCTCACCTAGACTGAGGTGGTAGTTGTGTGAGAAGGCATCAAATGCTGATATCATGCAGGAAGAAAAAACAAGGTCTGGCAATCATGACTGGCTACATAGAGTGAGAGAGAATGAGGCATTAAGGTTAAACGACAAGGTTTTGAACCTAGTAGACTGTAAGTATGGTGGCACTTTTAACAGAAATAGGGAAGTTTGGCAGAGAGGTGAGTTTAAGGGCAAAGAATGACTTCTGTTTGGTCATGTTGAGTTTGAAATGTCTCTAGGATATCTAGTTTGAAATATCCAATAGACAACTACTAAAGGAAACTCCTTATGAAACCATAAGCTCCTAGTTGTTATTATTGTTGTTCTTGAGCGTTACTAGGCATGTAAAACAATATGTAGCATTCAGATCATAGGTTATTACTTTTTCTTAGACATGTAATTTTAGTATTTCAAAGAGAGTAGCAAAAAGCATTGACTTTTGGGGTACTTTAAAGTTTCTAATAGTAAGAAATAACACTTTATCAACTCAAAATAATCTTTATAACTTAAAAAGACAAATAATTTATAGCAAATTGAAATTAAGCATTGCATAGTAGATAGTGATCTGGTCTTGGAGCCAGGAAGATCTGGATTCAAGTCCTATTTTTGACAAATACTGGCTGTGTGACCATGGACAAGTCACTTTTACACTTGGAGCTCTAGGCCAGTGCTTCTTAAACTGTAGGTCATGACCCCATAAGGAGTCATGAAAATTTTGGCAACAGTAAAAGGTTTCTGAATGCACAACAACCAAAAATTAGTTAAAAATCAAATGTGTATTGAATATGAGGGGTTTCTGGCAGTGTTTGCCATTGTTACATCGGACAGCTTCACTGTAGCTTTGGTTCTGAACACAAAGCATGTGCACTTTGCACTGCACATGCAATACCAAGGAACGCTGCCAAATTGGGAAAAGGGGTCAGGAGTGGAAAAAGTTTAAGAAACCCTGCTCTAGGCTATTCTCTAGAAAATGAGATGTAGAGAACATGCTTTTCTGCATTGGTAGAGGGAGTTTCTTTACCTTGGAGTTTCTACAACAATGTAATCACAGATCCAGTCCCTATGCCCAAACCATATTCCTATCGAACAGCATTGTTATATAAAATCCTTGTTCTTTTAGCTCATTATCTCCTTAATTTCATTTCTTGTATTCACAGATAAGGAGAAGCTGAGTATGGCATTAATATACATCTGAGTACAATTTAAAATTGTTTAAGAGATGTTGAATTTAATGCCTTAGAAGAGGCAATGGGATGTAGTGGATGGAGTTGTTATGTGAGTTTAAACTACATTGAGTCTACTTTGTGTTTAGAATATACTTCAATATTTGAAACCTCTGTGATTGTACCTGTGTGCCTACTTCCTCAATCACATGAGGATTGAAACCCTTCAAACCTGGGCAAACTATAGCTAAGAGTATTTGGGAATTGTAGCTCCAGCACTGGAAAGTTCCATGGGTCATCTATTCCAATCCCCTCAACTTATGAGAAGTGGAAACTGAGGCCCAGAGAGGTGAAGGGATTTGTCCACCAGTAATAATAAATGGGATAGCTGGGATGAGACCTCAAATGCCATGCCTTGAAGTTCAGCCATCTCTTCACTGTCTCAGGCTGTTAGATGATGAGCTGCTCTGAATTTAGCTAAGCTGGCCTTGAGATGACAGACACACAGTAAAATGTTGGAGCTGGAACTCCACTGGTATAACATTAAGAAACTCAAGGCCATCTCTACATCACTGTGTGCCACTGGAGTAGGAATTTAGTGGAGCTATTAGCCCATATAGCTGACATAGTCAAAATATAGTGCATACAAAGAAATCACAATCAGATCCCATTTCAGGATATCTCTAGTATCCCAAGACTTTATGAAACAATTCTTCTTCTTCTTCTTCTTCTTCTTCTTAGTAGCATTAGTTTTTTAATCAATCTATACATTTGATTCATTATTAATTTTAATGATTTTAAAATTAATTTTTATAGTAACAATATTTATAATACAATAATTTGTAATAATAATGATAGCATTCATTTAGCACTTTAAAGTTTGTAAAGCACTTTTAATATGTTATTACATTTTATCCTCACAACAACTATGTATGGTAGGTGCTATTATCCCCATTTTACATATAAAAAACTGAGGCTCTAAGAGGTTGTAGAGGGCCAGATAACTAGTAAGTGTAAGAGACAGGATTTGAATGCAGGTCTTCAGGACTCCACATCTAGCACGTTATCCCCTAAGTCATTTTGTTGATAAGGTGTGTGTCATAAATTTTTGAGGGGATATGTATAGCACACATGTTAAGTTGCTTTTGAAAATTCAAACTAGTTTAATTTGCTGGATTTAAAACAACACAGTTCTGCTGGAGCAATTTAGTCAGAGAGGGAAACACTGACAGTCAGAGCTCATAAAGGCCCTCATTGCATACAAGGTTTTATTTTACAAGTCATGTTGATATTGACCATCTGCCCTTACCTCCGTGAGTGTGACTCTCCACACATGCTTAATTGCCTTATAATTTCTGCTTCATTGGATATTACTGTATAATTACAAGTCAGCTAAAAGCAATTGGGATGTAATGAAATATGATTAATGTATTTTGAAAGGTATGGTTTTCTTTTTGTTTAAGCCTTGGCCTTCAGAGTCTACATAATTAAAATGAGACTAATTTAGACAGCAGGTTTGTTAGGGCTGTCTTGAGGGGACAGTTGGAATGAATTTTCTTGTCTTGCACCAAGAATCCTTTTTATGTCCTCTCAGTGACAAGACGCTTCCTTAGCAAACCCATGTTACTTACTGATACCATTCATCAGGAATGGCTGGATCCATATATTTGGCTTTAGTAATAACATGTTTCCTTATCTTTTATACCCCCTTGACTGTGTACGTGGCTGTCACAAATACATGCTTAATAAATGCTTGCTACCTGACTGACTGAACACAGAATAGAGCAGAGACCTGATAGTGAGCGAGTTTTAGTCCCTCTGGAAAATCTGTACATTGGCCTAGGACCTGATGGACTTACTGATCATACCTGCCTTGGCCCCAGAGCTTAGTTAGCAGCCTCTTGGTCTACTTAGTAGAAATGTGCCCACTAAACTGTACCTAAGACTATTTGCAGTCCACATATTGACTTAGAAAGCTACATATTAACATTGTTCTATTGCATTTTTATCTATTTTGTTAAACATTTCCCAACTGCACGTTAATCTGATTTGGGCCACACTTGGGAGAGTTGTGGCCAATGTGCTGTGTATTTGATACCACTGGTCTAAGAGATACCAGCAACTGGGACAATGATGAAATGCTAAAAGTTCCAGGACTCCAAGTTCCCAGACTCTGAATACCAAGAGACTCAAGGGCAGTAGCACATGTTGTCATAGGCATATAGACCTTGAGAGTTGGGATTCAGTGGCCATCTAGTTCAACTTATAAACAAAAAGGAATTCCCACTATAACATATCTGACAAATGGTCATCCAGCCTCTACTTGAAGACCTCCAAGCAGAAGGAGCCCATCACTTTTAGAGAGAAGCCATTCTTCTTTTGGACAGTCTTTTTTCCCCCCCGACATCAAGCCTAAATCTGCAACTTCTACCCACTGTTCCTTGTTCTACTGCCTTTTGGGGGGGGGGGACGGACCTGCAGCCTCAAGGCTGTAGCATTCTAGGTCCTTGGGTATGGCCTTTTGATTGAGTCCAAATTTTCTAAAACAAATCCTTTTACATCAAAACCAACATGGGGAGAGTTGTGATGTGGAAGGATTAACTATATAGTTTGTACATATCTGTTTGCTTGTTGTCTCTGCCATTGGGTTGTGAGCTCCTTGAGGGCAGGGATTGTCTTTACCTCTTTTTGTAACTCCAGAGTTTAGCATAGTGCCTGACACATAGTAGGTACTCAATAAATGTTTATTTTTTATTTTATTTTATTTTTTATTTTTAATTTTTTAAATTTTATTAATTTATTTTGTTTTATCAACAATCACTTCCATATGCTTTTGAGTTGAAAATTTTTCTCTCCCTTCCTCCCCCCTCCCAAGATGGCACACAATCTGATATAGGCTTTACATTTACATTCCTATTAAATATATTTTCACTCAATAAATATTTATTGAATGACTGGCATTCTAACCATACCTACCAATTTTGTGAGGTTGATTTTTTTATAACAAAGTGTAAGACTTTTTATTTGTCCCCAGTCAATTTCTTCTTAATAGATTGAGCTTAATCCTCTAGCCAATGTAATTTATGCCAATGTCAATGGTATATGTAAATAAAATAAATAAGTAAACAAAGCAATAATAAGTAAATGAAATAGTAAGTAAAGTAAAATAATTAGGTAAATAAATAAGTAAATCATTAGTCAGTGTTAAAAATGTTAAGCAGCTTATAGCTAAGCAGAGACCCTGAAATACTCCACTGGATATATCTTGCCACATTCACCCATTAACTATTTTTGGAGCCTGGTCAGTTTTAAATCTATCTAATTGATTATCATCTCTTCCATATCTTTATGACTTTTTCACAAAAATGGTATGAAATAATTTAGCAAAAATTTTGCTAAAATCTAGGTAAACATATCCACAGCACTTTCCTCATTTACTAGGTTAGTAACCTTGTAAAAAAAAAAAGAAACAAAATTATCCTGGAATGGTCTGTGTGTGACTAAGTCTAAGGCTTTTTGTGATCACACTTACTTCCCTGTCTAGACATTTGCCAACCACAGACAAAGTATTAATTCTAAAATCTCCCCTGGAATTTAAATCAAATTTGTTGGCCTATAATTGGAAGACTGTTCTCTTTTTTGAAAATCAGGATTCTTGCCTTTCTCTAATCTTGTGGTACTTCTGTCATTTTCTCTGTTCTTCCAAATAACATTGAAGGAATTGAAGGGATTAGAACAGCAAGTGGTAAATGGGAACTGAGTGAACACACTGACTCCATCTTGTGACTCAAATCTGGAGCTAGCTTGGTTCCCTTTCTATTCAGCTATGGGTCTAGTCAGACTTTAGTCTTGTGAGAAAACTTTATTCAATTGTGGGAATTTGGAGAAAACCTTATTCAAACCATTGTTTGAATCTAGTCTTGTGTGGCTGAGAAACTGGACCACTTCTACCTGCTGTTAGAGACCCTTAATGAAGGACCTAAATTATGTGGATCAGAAACCCAGTCAGACCAAAAGACTGATGCAAAGAGTTTCCTCACAATTATATATCTCAAGCAACTCATATATCTTATCTGAAAATTAGCCTGTATTGATGAATCAATTATTGTTTCCATGTTCCCTTGATTATTTACAGATACTTTCCCTCTCCCAACTTGGAAAATCCCTAATCTTTCCTCCGATTAGAAATCAAATTACTTAATGTTGTATTGTTTCCTTTTAATTAATTGTTTCTTATTTGATTAATTGTTTTTAATGTATAAAAGTCTATCTTACCTTGTATTTAGGGTCCAGGCCTCAGATGAGGAAGGGGCCTGGTCCCATTTTGTTAGGTAACTGGCATACATTGCTTAATAAACTGATATTCTCCGAAGACTGAACCTTTGTTTTCCTCAGTTATTTCATCTTTTACCAGCCATAACACTGACAGGGGCTCAGCAATTGCACCTGCTATTTCTTTTAGTATCAGAGAAGGTAGCTCACCTGGTAACTTGAATTCATTGAGTGTAGTTCTAAATCTATGATTCTATCAACTAGATGCTCTTTCAGTATCTCCTTATCATGAGTATTAATCAGCTCCTCATCAACCATTTTTGCGCTGCTATTTCTAATGCAAAGGTTATTGTCTCTTTGGCAGAGAAAATAGAAGAAAAATGAGATCTGAGCAGCTCTACCTTCTCTCTGCTGCCAGTTACCATTTCATCCACCCCAAGCAAAGATCCTTTCCTTATCTCAATACAGGTAAGAAAGAAAGAAAGCCAAAACCCAAACCTTTCTTGTCCTCAACATCTCTTGCCAATCTCAGCTCATTCTGAATTTTAGCTCTCCTGATGCTTTAAAAAAAAGAATCCTCTATTTATTCTTTTTTTCTCGGCCTTGCTGCCATCTTCATTATGTTTCTTTTTAGAGCCTAAGTTGATTAGTGAATTTCTGTGTGATGTTCTGATATAGAACTTCAGTCTCTTCAGACAAATCCCATTTTTTCTTCTTCATTTTAATTGTTTCCTTTCCCGACTTCAGAATTTCATTTCTGAGCAGCCCCCACTCTCCTGAGCAACTTCTTCTCTAGTATTTCAGTCCACAACATCCCACCAATCTTGCTTTTAGACTTCTTAAAATCTATTTTTCCAAAATTTAGGATCCATGTCCAACCTGTTCTGGATTTTCTGTCCTCTATCACAAACTCTAGGGGAGACTAGTCACTTCCTCTCTTCCCTAGGGTTTTCATCATTTCTAACCCAGCAATCAGTTCCTTCCTGTTAGTGAGAATCAAATTCAAAATAGCCATTTCCTTTGTTGATTCCTCCACATTGGAAAGGATAAAATTATCACCAAGATAAGTCAAGAAGTCATTAGCTACTCTGTTTTTGAGAGAGAGAGAGAGAGAGAGAGAGAGAGAGAGAGCGAGAGAGAGAGAGCGCGAGCGCTATAGCAGATGTCTGGAAAATTAAAGCCCCCCTTAATACTATATCATTTCTCTGTGCCATACTTATATGTGTTTCCCAAACTCTTCACCTAGTTCTTTTTGTTCAGGTGATCTGTAGTATACTTACACGATTAAAATCATTATTTTTTGTTCCCTGCCCTTTTACTTGAATACTCTTCATCATCTCACATGTATTTTAGACTACTGGAATTAGTTCTGGAACTATGGTAACGGATTTCAATTGGAAGTATAATAATGGATTTTACACTTTTTATGCCAGTCTTAGGAACAAATACCTGAGAGACATGGGAAGAGGAATAGTTGCACAAGTAGTAGTCTCAGCTTTTAAGTAACAGCTAAGGTGAATATATGAAAAAAAATAGCTAGACTAGCTAAGATATATAAATGTGGGAAAAACCCAACAGCAACCCTAGTTGGAACCAATTGAATATCTCATTAGAACTGTTAAGGAATATTTCAAAATGTTCATATTAATTTTTTTAGAAGTTTCAATCTTAAACACTGCCATTACTAATGAAGTAACTCTTCTTTTTTTGATCAATATTTTCTTTTCTCCTTCTCCTGTTCCTCCTCCTCCTCCCTACCTTTTCCTCCATTTCCTCCTTTTTTCCTATTCTTCCTCCCTCTCCTCCTTCACCTCTTTTTCTGGACTATGCAAGATATTGGGGACCCCCATGCTGGTGATATTGGGCCTTGGGTCACACTTGTCAGATGTAGTGTAGCAGGGGTTTTTTTCCCCCTTATTGTTTGGTAGAGATGTCCACTGAAATCCCTTCCTATTACAATTCTGTGTTTTTTATATTTTTATTTTATAAATAAATACAAGAGACAGCATAATATGGTCTGAGGTTGTTGGCTTTGCCTTCAGAAGATGTAGGTTCAAATCCTCTGACAGCTTTGGCACTTATTAGCTATGTGTCTGTGGGGAAAATTACATAACCTCTCTGTGCCTCAATTTTCTCATCTGTAAAATGAGGATAATGACACTTGCTCTACTTACCTTTAAGTCTGTAATTTGTATTACAAAGGTTTCTTATGTCCACTCCTCTTCCTGGAAGTGCTGAAAAGGAAAGAGATCTATGAGATACTGGTAAAGAAAAAGGAGATTGTATCCAGGCATAAAGACCCTAAATAAAACTCAAATTATGCTTATCCACCCCTCTTCACCCTTGTAGATACTTTTGGTCTGACATTCCTAATAATTTTTCCTATGTTATTGGTGAGATGGGAGGTCACGATTGGATGCTTAGATTCACCGTTTTCTACTTGTTGCAGCTGACACTGTGGCTTGCAGATCAAGTTGGATGCAAAACAGGTGACCTGGGACAGACCATGGAGAGTGTATAGTGATTTAGTGAAAAGTGGCACGATAATTCAAAATAACATATTATACAAAACCCATTTCTGTTTCTTTTTAGAATATATGGATGTACATATGTGTGTGTGTGTGTGTGTGTATATATATGTATATATAAAATGTATATATGTATATACACATATATGTTATTTTGAGAGGAGAAACATTTTTCTTCTTATTTATGTTTTCTTTCAGAAAAAGCTTTCCTCTGTTGGGAAATTTGCTAAAAGTTACCCACAAAGTAGATAACCCACATATAACTGCATATGATTGAGCCCCAAGTATCAGTACATGTTTATTTTTCCAGGTAACTGAAGAATATTTCTAGATGAAACACAAAGGCTAAAAGTTCTGGCTTTTAAGCATTTATGTGAATTGGTGCCATATTTTAGGAAGGACATGGATAAACTGGAGATGATTCAGAGAAGAATGACCAGGATTGGTGAAAAATCTTGAGATCATTTCATAGATAGGACCAAAGATTTTTTACCTTAGAGAAAGGAAGACTTTGGGGCTTGGGGGTGGGACATAATACCTGTTTTCAAATATTTAAAGGCTACTATTTGGGAAAAGGTTAAGACTTGTTCTTCTTGGTCTCTAAGAACAGAACTAGGATAAAAGGATATAAGTTGCAGAGAGGCAGATATATGTTTGATGCAAGGAGAAATTTCCTAATAACTAGAGCTATCCCAAAGAGAAGTGGGTCACCTCAGGAAAAATAGTTTCTTCCTCAATGAAGTCTTCAATAAAGCAAAGAATTTCATGATAAAACTTCTATTTGTGAAATATTTTCCCTTCTAAAATATTAAATGTGAAAGTATATATGTATGCATCACATATGTGTATGTATGTGAATAAATAAAATGCTTACATGCAACACTTTCCAGCTTGAAAAACTGGTTTAATTTGATCTATTTTGTTATAAAATGTTCCTGACTTCTTCCAGCCCTTTTCCTGTGGTTATTTCATGCTCCAGATCAGCACTGACAGGGGTCTGATATTTTGCTTCAAGCTTTCAAATGTTGTATGGCTAAAAGGGTTTGGGAAACAGTTTTAAAACAGAGGGGGATCCTAAGAGTTGGTCAAAATTCTTTTTGCACAGTTATTTCCCTCAAACTGTTGCTGCTGTTTTGTTCTTTGTTGCTGCCAGTTCTAGAAGAGAGGAAGAAGAGCCCTGGATTTACTCTTTGCAAAGTTCTTCCAATATTTCTCTGGTGTTCTGAACCCCACCTTCTCTCCTTACTCCAACCCTCTCATCTCATCTACCTCCTTCTTATGCATCCCTGGTGTGATGTCTTCATGTCTCTAGTTGGAAGCTCATGTTTCCATGTCTTTTATATACTTTTTAATATATAGTCTATACTTTTTATATACCTTTCTCTGTGCAGCTCTGTCTTTTCTCCTGTCGATATCTTCATAACTCTCTCTGAGTAGACCAACATCTAGCTTTCCTTCTCTTTAGTCCACGGAATATGGGAAGGTTATTACTTTATTTATTAATTTACTTGTAAGAAACCACTTTTCCTCTCTAGCTCTCTCAGTTTTCTCACCTATAAAATGACTGGGGGAGACTAAAGATTTTAAGAGCTGTTTCAGCTCCAAAATTCTATAATTTTAAGTGAGAGAACAAAACGATCTGTTCAGTGCTTCTCCAAATCTATGGCTGCTTGCCATGGAAGCATTTGGACTCATCAATCAATTTCTGAGAAGCTGTTCTTTTGAAATTAAATGAAATAGGGCAGAAACTTCATTTCCATTATTTCTTTCCCCTCCCATTGCTTTACATTATGAAAACTTACCCTGTCTGCTTAATAAAATAAATGTGTTTTCTTGATTATTACATTCCTTTGGAATGGACAAAATGTCCAACTACTGTTGATTCCATTTATATGGAACATTTAAAATGTTGATAGTTTCCATTATGGAAAGTCATATGTAAAAGTAACTCTATACTTTCATTTGTCTATTAAACTGTTGTGGGTCTAATAGCCTCTTTCAAAAGATTATCTTGAAATTATATTTTGAATTGAATATTCAATACAAGAACCTCCCTATAAGCTTTTATGGTTTTGTCATAATAAAAATTAATGCTTCAGGACATGACCTATCTTAAAATTAGAATAAGAAATATTTGATAATTTTACTGATTCTACTAAACTCTATATGGAGCTTCTTTCAGTGTTGTTTTTGATTCTATAAGATATGTGCAAATGCCTTTGCTGTTTGTATATATACTTAAACATGTATATAAAGCAATAAGGTGTTGAGGAAATGTCTATTACAGTTATTTCCTAAGGAAATTGACTTGTTTTAATAATCTCATTTAAATGACACATAAATATTTGTAATATTGCTTAGGCTTTGATGTATATAAGTGCTTTTTAAAAGCCCTATTGGAATATTCTGGCTTCTAGACTAAATGTGACCTGTCTTACTGACATTTTATCTTCCTCCCACAACTCTAGAGTTTAAGGGAAATGAATATATGTGCTTTGGGAGTTTGGGGGCAGAGCTGCAGTAGAAGTAGGAACTATATAACTTTTGCCCTAATATATACTCTGTCCTTCTCTTTCTTGATGGCCCCACCCTCCTGCCCTCCTTCAGCTAGTGACTTATTTCTTTTACAATCTTTTTTTTTATTAATTTATTTTGATTTGTCAACAATCACTTCCATATGCTTTTGAGTTGAAAATTTTTCTCACCCTTTCTCCCCCCCACCCTCCCCAAGACGGCGCACAATCTGATATAGGCTTTACATTTACATACCCATTAAACATATTTTCACATTAGTGAAGTTGTAAGTAAAAATTAAAACCAACAGGAGGAACCATCAGAAAGATGAAACAAAACTCAACAGAAGGTAAAATAAGTGATAGCGATTCGACTTCCATAGTTCTTTCTTTGGATGTAGACAGCATTTTCCATCCCGAGGCCTCTGGAGATGTCTTAGATCCTCGTGATGCTGAGAAGGGTTCAGTTTAACAATCTTAGTCATTGCATAACGTGGCTGCTATTGTGTACAAAGTCCTCTTGGATCTGCTTACTTCACTCAGCATCAGACGATACAAGTCTTTCCAGGTTTTTCTGAAGTCAGCCTGTTCATCATTTCTTTTAGCACAATAGTATTCCATTACATTCATATACCACAACTTGCCCAGCCATTTGCCAATTGATGGGCATCCTCTCAATTTCCAATTCTTTGCCACTACAAAAAGAGCTGCTATAAATATTTTTGTGCATGTGGGTCCTTTTCCCATTTGTATGATCTCTTTGAGATATAGCCCTAGAAGTGCTATTGCTGGATCAAAGGGTATGCACATTTTTGTAGCCCTTTGGACATAGTTCCAAATTGTTCTCCAAAATGGCTGGATCATTTCACAACTCCACCAACAATGTATTATTGTTCCAATTTTCCCACATCTCCAACATTTATCATTTTCCTGTTTTGTCATGTTGGCCAATCTGATAGGTGTGATGTGGTACCTCAGAGTTGTTTTGATTTGCATTTCTCTAATCAATAACGATTTAGAGCATTTTTTCATGTGGCTATAGATGGCTTTAATTTCTTCATCTGAGAACTGTCTGTTCATATCCTTTGACCATTTATCAATTGGGCAATGGCTTGTATTCTTATAAATTTGTCTTAATTCTCTATATATTTTAGAAATGAGGCCTTTATCAGAGAGACTGGTTGTAAAAATTCTTTCCCAATTTTCTACCTTCCTTCTAATCTTAGTTGCATTGGCTTTGTTTGTGCAAAAACTTTTCAATTTAATGTAATCAAAATTATCCATTTTGCTTTTCATAATGTTCTCTATCTCCTGTTTGGTCATGAATTCTTCTGTTCTCCATAGATCTGATAGGTAAACTATTCCTTGTTCTCCCAGTTTACTTATGATATCAGCTTTTATATCTAAGTCCTGAACCCATTTTGACTTTATTTTGGTATATGGTGTGAGATTTGGGTCTATGCCTAGTTTCTGCTGTACTCTACTAGTGACTTATTTTGAATGCTGGGACCTATCTCATGGTTGAAGCTGTTACTGCTTGAATTTCAGAAATGAAATTCTACTCCAATTGCTGTAGAAATGAGGGTAAGTGATGGATTAAATTACTACTATTATTACTGTTTATTACGTACTAAAACTTCATGTGTCACCTCCATTTGAAGAGATTCTTTTTCTTACTAGAAAAAAATTTTATATTGATTATGGCTTATTGTAATCCTTTTTGCTTTCACGTTAATGGTTAAAAAGCTTTCTTTGAAGAACAGTCACTTACATGGAAAGAAAGAAAATAAGAATTTATTTAGTACATACTATGTGCTAAGTGCTTTACAAATATTATTTCTTCTATCCTCACAAAAACCTTGAGAGGTAGATACTATTATCACCCCCATTTTACAGTTGAGGAAACTGAGGCAAAGGTTAACTGATTTGCCCAGAGTCACACAGCTAATAATATCTGAGGCTGGATTTGAACTCAGGTCTTCCTCATTCCAGACCCAGCATACTATCCATGGTGACACCTTTTGTAGTGTATACATTTTCTTGTAAAAAATTCCACAGATTTTTTTTCTCTCTTGAAACTTCTACAAACATTCCTCCCAATCCCTCATAAGGTAGGAGTAACTTCTCTCAATGTCATTCTTAAGATAGTGATTAGTGCCTAAGCTGAGGAGACTGCCCATATGGAGATAATTA